CCACATTTATAATCCTTGCATTTTGAGAATTTTCTAGCTACATTGATATTTTTTTGCTGCACCACCTCCTATATTTTTGTAGCATTTTAGTAGTTATTATACGTTCGGGACCGCCTCGTTGGTCTAGTGGTTGTACTAGTGCGACTGCTGATCACGAGGTCCTGGGCTCGAATCCCGGGTCAGGCCGAAGAAATCAATTATTGAGTTTTTCTGTCAAGAAATTCTTAGTAGCTGCTCGGAGTCAGGAAGTTGGCGGTGTCTCACCCCCGTGCCTCGGAAAGCACGTAAAGCCGTTGGTCCTGCGCCTGATCTCTTTCCGGTCGTGTCGGTTTATCGTCCTATATGATTATGAGAGTGAGTGAAAAGAGAGTGCACCTGTGCTTGCGCATACACTTGGGTACCGTAATCCTGTCCTGCGCCGATGGCTAGCCTCCGTTGAGGCAGGCCGCCGTGGCCGAAATTCGGTCTGGAGGACATTATTATTATTAGTAGTTATTATATCTGCTCATTCTAATAGTTGAGTAGTTTTAGGCGTTTTGGAATTAACTTTAATTTAAAAAAAAATTTAAGATGTTTTACTGCAGGAGTTTTAACGACGCAGGTTTTGATCGCGGATTTTAAAACAATGTCCATGGAGTTTATTATGAAAATAATAAAACAAATGATGACTTAAGTAATTTCTGCACTTTTAAGTGCTTTAGTTACAAGTTTTACGATGTTGCTATTTTGAAAATTATAATAAATGCTAATTTAAAAATTATTCATTGTCTTTCATCTCATTTAGATTATTTTACTATTTTAGGTCACCGCTTAATTAATTCTATCTATTATTATCCCATCTAGTCGTGATGCAGCCGATGGTGAAGCGCACTAACATAACAAAGTCCTACTCACTCTTTTCTCACTCACATTGTAATCGGATCGGAAAGATGCCGGCAACTTACTGCACTCCTTTGTTGTACGTATGAGGAACGATGTAGTAAAGTGTATCGTTCGAATGCATGGTAAGTCGACGATGAAAGCGTGGAGACTAGCCGAGCGTCTGGTTATCCGTTAACGGAAGGGAGATGGAGGAATTAAATTATGTAATTCATGCGCACACTCTCTGAAATGCATAGTGTAGATAACAGAAAGGCTGGCTACTTTGCGCCTGCGTTCGAGACTGGTGACCTGTGTGTGAAAGGTAACCTTTATCCAGATTCGGGTCATCAATAAGCCTCCTAGCACGTCTTTCTATTGAGTCCAAAGATATAAGGGCTGTATTAAATAAGCTGGTGCTCTCCACCTATATTTTTTATGGAATAAGGGTGACAAACGGGCACACAGTTCAATCGATGGTAAGTGGATGCTGTGGCCCAAAGACATCTACATTTAACCTCGATTAAGATTCCAAATGCAGATGCGTTGTAACCACTGTGGACTAAGATGGAATGCGTCGATTCCAGTAAAACGGGTCTCCATTTCTCTACACTCATCATACGAAACACAGCAGCATTAAGCTGTTATTTTACGTTGGTATTCTGTGAGAGCGTGGTCCTTCCCCGGTCGAGCCGACCCATTCGTGCTACAAACATAATATAGCTGCAGCGTGGCTCTGCCAAGTATAAATGGCAGCAATAATCTGAGTTTGAGTGTTGAGACTGTGAGTTCGCTCCTTTTTGCAGCGAGACATGCTTGTGTTTTATGGGCGTTGATTTTCACAAGATTTGTAACGCTCGATTCGGAGACTGTCTGTAGTGTAAGTTTTACTCGCTCAACTGTAGCTTCTCCTTCGGACTGGACAATTAGTTGATATCTCTCCACAACTGTGCTGTCGTTCACAAACCTATAAATATCAATAGCAGGTCATTAATATGCAGCAGAAAGAGAGCGAAGAGAACGGAGTCATGAGGCACTCCGCGTCAGTCGCTATATGATGAGCAGCCATCAACGGCTCGGAGAGACCGTTCGCTCAGAAAGTCCTTCACCCAGTCAAAGCTCCAGGCCAGGAGAAGAGTCAACTCAGGTGCGCAAGCCCTTTTACTCATTCTTTGTTGATTTTGACGTCCTGATCAGTTTTTTTTTAAATGGAGGCGGGTACCTAAATCCGCAAAGATTTTGTAGGATTTTTTAGCAAAATAATTCAAAAGTTATATGAGCATCAAGTTTGCTCCCTAATTCAAACGCTTGAACGTTTATGTTTGTTCTTATCTCGACTGGACTATTACTGTAATGAACCAATATATTCAATGAATTATATTGTTTTTTTTCCTTCACCACCGAGCACGTGGTAAATCAGCACCTAAAATTGCAATTAACACTTTCATTGGTGAAGGCGGGGATCGTACCCCGGCTACTCACGTTCTATTATATTTACAGTGAGCTTTAACCATCTAAGCTACCACGGCAAAAAAAAAATTTCGAAGACATGTGAAGTTCCCCAACACGCATAAGGCAGTGCGGCGGACACTTCCTTGCCCTAAAACCCTCTCAGAAATGAGGGGAGGCCTATGGCCAGCAGTGGGACGTATATAGGCTGTAACTTTACTTTACTTTTACATTAAAGTTAGAGTTAAATAATATTGTCACATTATTTTTTCACATAGTAAAAAACATAAAATAAAAACAGCATAGCATATATTTTTATTATATTTATTTAAGTGCGTAAAACTTATTAAGTACATACTTAACTATACCAATTAAATATAAATCTCAAAATAATAACAAGTTTGGCATTTAATGTTTGTTTTCAAAAGTAAAATTTCAATACAACCAACAAGTCCTATATTGACCTCAACAAGTAATATCCATAAGTTACTATGTAATTAAACTAAGTTTAAGAGATCAAACATAAATCAGGTAACGACAAATTTGTAGGGCATGAGTCATAGGTACTCCAATTATTTTATTTTAATTTAAAATTAGAAAAATATATATCTCATAAAGTATTTTTAGAACAAGTACTTTCTATGCGCACAGGATAAGAATAGTATTGTGTTAAATGTCAAATTCTCCAGCTAGATAAACGTAATTTCGCATGATACACCATCATTTAATTTGTTTTTAGGAAATAAAAAAATGTGTTCACTTTATTAAATTTCTAATCAATAATAAAAATCTATATTTATTAATGTATTTCAGTCAGTTTTTACACGTTCTCCTCAAAACACTAGAAGTTAGTGCGATAGCGAAGTGAAATGTTGGACAGCCCTATTCTTATCGTGCATGCGTTGTGAATACTTACATTATTTTTATAAACGAATCAATTATAGGGCATTCCCACTACTATCACCAGTCACCAATATCACAACGTTTTCGTTTATTCTCTCCCAGACGACAATTATTTCAATAAAAATGTTTAACGGAACGCAATATTAAATAAATGATATTATATAGGTATATAGAAATTGCCTCTTAAATTTTAAACTCTTTTAAAATTAACGCTTAAAATATGTTTTATCAAACCAAATCCAAAATACGTAACAATATTTGCGATGTACATGCAATGGCCAAATAAATGCGGACGGCATCATACGTCATAAAAGGTTTTAACGGGTTATTCCGTTTATCCTCCCTAAGAAATCTACCCTAGGGTGGATACTCGGAATCGCGTGTTCGTTTATCCACGCCAGACGGGTGCGTAATCGGAATTCATATATTATTTTTCTTCCGATTTAACCCTCTGCTATGTACAGTCGTTTATAAAAAAACATGATAGAAACTGGGCCAACATTACTTAGAAGACATTAGCATACTTAAAAAAATACATATATACTTCTGGTTTAAAGGTAAAACCTGAAATATTTATCACTGTTCAATTACATCTCATTCTATGTGACATAATTTACGTCATTTAGGAGATATCTTATGATGAAAGAAATGTTCTACTGAAATTAATTTAAATTAAATATTTTATTGAAGTTGGTATTTAAATTTAATAAATATATTGTTAATTATACAAACACAGTATTGGAAGTAATACTTAACAAATTTTAAAATGTCTTTTATTGAGAGATACTTAACACACGTCTACTCAGTAATGAAATTAGTGTTGGTCATTTCCCGGACATATTGTAGAATTTATAAATTACCTACTTATTATTATTCAAAACAAGGAAGTTTAATTTGGTTTAAATGTTAATATGATTTTTTGGTTAAGTTTGTGGTTATTAAAATGAATGAATAATATGTTAAAGTATGAATATATACTCTGTTGAACTGTACTTGGTGTGGAAAGGCAGAAAAACAATGAAAAAGTGAATTCCGATTATCCACCTCGTCTAGGGTGGATTAACGAACACACGTTTCTGAGTATCCACCCTATATAGGGTGGACTTATTAGGGTGGATAAACGGAATAATCAGTTTTAATTGGTTTTTATAATATCACGGAAATTGCCATAGATGCACATCGCTCCTAAATATATTTTTGTTTCAAAGGCCATATATAAAGAAAACAAAGACAAACTTTGCCAATATTGAAACAAAATAACTAGAACCTTTCCCATATGTAAATATATCGTGCCGATATGATATGTCTCACCCAGTTAAACCTTCCTCTGTTATCACAGCCCTTAATTTATTTATTACCATTAACCAACAGAATTAAAACTATAAATTAAACATAACTAGAAAATAATTAGACTTCGTAAGTACTAATATGTAATAAGTAGTCCAATAAAAAATCTAAGAACATTTATAATACGTTATTAACTGCGATATAAATTATGCATTTTTTGAGCTTAGCTCCCTGTTTCAATTCTATGTTAATCTGTTTATATTCCCGTCGTTCTATTTTCAAATAAAATTTAGTAATTTTAATAATATTAATTGTAAGCATGCTTATTATTTTACTGACACCAAATATTTATATCCAAGTAACCAAAATATAACAAACTTATTTTAAATGTTGGTAACAAAATTTCGGAATGGTATTTAAGTTATCAATAGTTGATACACAGGAATCACAAGTTCGAGGCTCTTTGATTAATTAACTAATTGTAACAAGTATTCGACTAGTCATCATGAAAATTGACACATGAAATGATAGAACTGGTCGAAGTTCACCGGCTCCAATTCATATTCCTTTTCCGACTTATTTAGTAACTCTGGGTTTCTTTTTAGGAAGTTTCTCACCCAGTCTTCGCCAGCCATTCTACTGTTGACGTCGAAAGGGTGATTTAGATTGTTGTCTTCGGCATATTGAAAGGCCAGCTCTCGTATATCGCGTCTCGAGACGCCCATAAAGTACTTTTCCATGCTCTTAATATAGCCAACAAGATCCTTTTCTTGATTGTCAGTGAACACTCGTCTGTAATGACCCATTAAAGGCTTGGGATCGTCGGGTAGTTGGTATCGGATTTTACTGGCGCGTCGTTGCAGCGTCGAGCGAGGTATATGAAAGGTCCTCGCCGCGAGCTTGTAGCCCATCTTACCTGACACCACGGCGGCAACGGCTTTCGCCATGTCCTCTTCGCTCCAGGACTGACGACCACTCATTCTTTCGTATTTGCGTACCATTGAAAGCTGAAACACATAAAACAATAGTGCTTTATTGGTAAATTACACACACAGGCCCACATACACGCGCACACACACGCACGCACACACACACAAAAAAAAAACACACACACACACACACACACACAAACACGCACACGCACACGCGCACACACACACACACACACACACACACACACACACACACACGCACGCACGCACGTACGCACGCACGCACGCACGCACGCACGCACGCACGCACGCACACACACACACACACACACACACACACACACACACACATACACACACACACACACAAACTTATTACATCGATGGGAACGATTAATGAGTATCGTAATTAAGGTATCGGTTTTACTGAGAAATCCATTACCTTCTTTTACTAAGTAGACAACGAGGGTCCATTTAGCAAAAATTATTACTTTTTCATTAATTAAAAATAATTAAATTATATGAACAGATTAACGTCACGTAGTACGAATTAACATTTAAGTTTGATTTAAACAACAAGTGGCTTGACATAGTTGATGTTCGGCGAAGGGTAACCGTTGCCTACCGGTTCTGTGGACAACGATCAATGCCGGCGCAAGGTAAAAATGTCTTGAAACTGTTTAGAGGCTATACTCAATGTTATTCTTTAGCAATATGCTATAAATATGTAAATGAGCATGATTATGAGTGCGAGCGAAGATTTTAATTTGACGTAAAGCGTTCCGTATTACCTAAACAATAAAAGAGATTTTTGTAAATCATAGAATTAAACTATGAAATCTACAACATCTAGATATGAAACGTTAACCAAACCGAAGTAAAATTAGGTTGCGCCGGTTCTGTTTAGTCAAATGAAATAATAACACACCTATCAGACGACCTACCTCATAACCATTTATCATGTTTACGGAATAAAAATACTAATTAATATGTATATAAAATCGAATTTTATTTGCTTGTTTTGTAAAACTATTGAACCTATATAATTACTTCAAACTTGTTTTCATCAATTGTCATAATTTTGCAAGCGAAAACATATTCTTAATTTACGCACCTAACGTTTCAAATCGCGTGCAATGTTGCGGGGCTAACCGACTAACCACGTTATAATACAGCTCATAATTCGCTCAGCTGATAGTGGGCAAAACACCAGATAAAGTAGGTATGGCGTGTTTTTCCAGTAAAATAAACTTGAAGAACATCGGGACAAACAAAACAACATTTGCAATTGCTGGTATTTTTATAACCTTTAATCAAAACTAGAACTAATCCATTACATCCCATCACGTAATTAGCGCATTGTAAACCTTAGTTTAAGATGTCATAAAATAATGATTAAATAAATAAATGAGTCCACAAAGAATCTGCTGCAATAAGTACCAACGTCACTTATGTATTACTTGACTCCTCGTTAAACGGGAAATACCTACTACTCGATAGTTGTTGACCGTCCTTGAGTGACCGCGTTGTATTTTTTATCTGTTAAATGAAATACGTGGTTGCGTCGTGTCGTTCGGTCAGCTGTTTGTATTCGTTCTACAACACGTCTATCAACAATCTCCGTAATACTTTGTGTACGAACAAGATTCAAAAACAAAGAATTTGTATGATTGTCGATCCAATACTCGCAGGATATGAGTTCGCTAGTATGGGGTGCAATGGAAGAAGCAATGGATTATGTTTAAATGTAACCTATCGTCGTGGCGCCGAGAGTCGGGAGGCGTCGTAATAGCGGTTCGAACACCGCGTGAAGCGAGGTTACTGTGACGCGTGACTTGCAAGGTCCCTGCTGCAATGCACGATGTGCCAAGGTTGGCTTCACTCTTCTATACTGATATAAGAAACGAACCCTATAATTTTAGAAATTAATAAAAAAATAACAGCTCATGTTGTCAAATGCGCGGGAAAATCCTTACACGGTGAAGTAAAACAAATGAGAAAGTAGTGGTCTAGTGGTAATGGAAGATATAGGATGCATCGAGCAGTACTTACTTATTAGGGGTGGATGTACTTACGGTTGGGGGGTGGGTGGCGTATGGGGCTCGTAAAGGAGCGTTGGTGGGCGCGGGTCGGGTGCGGCGGGAGCTATGTGGCGCGTGTTTGGCGCGGAGGCGGCTGGCGATGGCGGTTGATCGCAGGCTTAGCAGCGTCGGCGTGCGGCCAGGCGGACGGCGCGCGCGACACTGGCGCGGGGCCCGTCTTGCCCCGCCGCGGCCCTGGCGCGCTGACGTCACCTGGCCCAGGGCCCGCCGCGACTATTTTCGTCCACGTCTAATTATCGCCTTCCTTTGTCCAATCGTGCGTTATGCACTGAAAAGGAAAACTGGCTTTATCTATGCCTACGTGCATTCGCACTACGTAAGCGCGATGTATCTATGTACAAGATATGAACTGCTTGCATGTGTAAGCAAAACGTTTTCTGTATTAATCACTTTAATTGGGTAATACATTATTAACAAAGAAAGACTCGGAATACAAACCAGATACTAAAACACAAAGACAGTTATAAGTATAGTATGTAGCATTCATACATTTTTTTCTACAGTAAGGGCGTAACAAATGAGCACACAGCCCAGCTGATGGTAAGTGGATGGTGATGGACATTTACATCTATACTCGATTAATAATAAAAATGCAAATGCGTTGTCATCCCTGAGGACTAAGATCGAATGCCTTGTTTCCAAAAAGGGCCTCTGGTACTCTACATTTACTGTGGCTCTCTACCACGTTCAATTTATTCAAAAACGTACAAAATATTATAAATAGAATTTGAATTGATCTAATTAGTAGCCTTTGATCTAAAGTATGTTAGTAGGATATATGACACATGTGTTATGATATAATATGATTACTATGTTGACATACCTACCCAAACTTGAGAGCCGTGTCTTCTTGGTGTGCTGTTTCTGTTGAGTGCGCCTGTACGTAGGATTTAATTTTTATTCATTCATTAATTACGTATACTATCAAGTTTACTGCTGAACATAGCCCCCCCCCCCACAGATTGCCTCACAGTGGGATATTTGTCATACTTAGATGCCACGCTGGCAAGCGGGTTGGCAACCGAAGTGTTTTATTAAGTTGGCATCAGGAAAGAGCTTCTGCTCATCTTCTCTATAAATTTGTATACTTATTGTAATTTCTAGCCTGAGTCATCAAAGCTAACTATTACATGTACATGCCATGACAGTCCGGAGGATGTGCGCTCGTCATATACTAAACAAGTGATGTGAGTATGATTCAAATCGGCACCAAAGTAATTGTTAAAAGCAATAATAAATGGTAATTTATCACGTGTTAAACATCGATAAAATAAAATATCGTGAGGAAACTTGCATGTCTTAAGATGAATCATTTTTCGTAAGCATGTGACTTTTGTGAAGACGCTTTGGCCGGTACTGAGTGAAATTATCTGCTCGAAAAACTCTTTCGTAAATAAAAGCAGATCTGTGCCTTTTAGGGAACTTGTTGTTTGAGTAGGTTGTTACTTTCTTACATTTTTTTATACGCGGTAGAGCCATGCTGCAGATATATAGTTGTAGCGTGAATGGGTCAGCTCGATCGAGGAAATACTACGCTCTCACAAAATAGCGCAAAATAACATCTTAATGCTGCTATGATTCGTATGGTGAATATAGAGACGGTTCTCTACCCTTTATACTGGATACAAGGCATTCCATTTTAATCCTCAGGAGTGACAACGCATCTGCATATTAATTACTAAACAAGAATTGATGTAGGTAGGTAAATATTTTATTCTATAGAAAAAAAGTACATCGCTAAAATGGGCCTCTATCATTATCCTTCATCCTTCCTGGATTCGTCTAAATCGTGACGTTTGCCTTCCGGATCGCTTATCGCAGTACCAGATGTCTCTATTCTTGACGCTGCCGCCCATAGATGGTCAGGATATTTTACGTATGAAGTATACGAGATGGTTAAACTGCCATCTATGACCAGCCATAACATTATTTATGTATTGCCCACAGTCTGCTCCTATGACACCCACAGAACGACATCATGTGAGGAACTCTTTTACGCCCGCACAACATGCCATTATCGGACATAGCTACGCAAAAAGCTAATCCACACTCGTGTCAAAACAATATACGAAAATTACTTATACCCGTGGTTAACAATATTTTCTGTTGCCTACCACTTTGAGAAGGGGTTCAAGTGCGTGTTACCCCTTATAGCACAAAATGATAAAAATACGTATATAAACAAAATCGTATTTTCGTTATTTGTTAACTTGTCAACAATTTCAATAATAATGCAAATTATAGATAGTAAAGTAACAGTCTATATACACCCAATGTTGGCATAGGCTTCTCATTTCAGAGAAGGGTTGCTGTACACCGCTGGACAGTGTCCTTTCTTTTTGTAGGGAGGTTTTGCCTTATTGCTACGCTCGGCAGACTCTCTAGCACCTTTGAGACTACTACACGGCGCCGGTTTGATTGTGACATAAACGAGATGGTTATACCATCATTGATCGCAAGGCATAAGATTTAGATATTTCCATACATTCACCTCTGAACCCCACAGAGCGAATTGGAATAATCTAGATTCTTTTTTTATAGGATAGGGTGATAAACGAGCACCACTAGTTCTGCCCATAGACATCTACATCTATCCTCGATTACTAATCAAAATGCAGATGCGTTTTCACCCGTGAGAACTAAAATGGAATGCCTCGTTTCCAGTAAAAAGGGTCTGAGCATTAAGCTACTATTTTACGCTGGTATTTTGTGAGAGCGTGGTCCTTCCCCGATCGAGCCGACCCATTCGTGCTACAACTATACTACTAATATAACTGCGGCATGGCTCTACCACGTATAAAATTACGTTTTTTACGCCGCTGCCTAATGGCAGTGAGTCTCGAAATATATTTCCTGAGATGAATGTCTGTTTCTGTTTCTTCACAATGTTATTGAAAATCGATATTTAAAATCGCAATAATAATTTCATTGGTGCTGCCGGGGATTCAACCATGATTACTCGAATAGGGTAGAATTTACGGCGAGCGCTTAGCCTCTGAGCTACCAGGGCTTTATAAATTGATGGACACGATCATAAGCTAAACAGTTAAAATGCACTACAGTTTTAGATATTATTAACACTTTTATCGTACACTGACATTTGCCCCACATTAAAAAAGAGCTCATAATTCCCATCGCTCCCCACATGAGTTCACACGATCTACCACCTTCCCTGATAGTTCACTCGTCTATAATTTCGAAGGGGACGTCCCACCCACTCTTTCACATCTAGAATTTTCTGCTCATATGCAATTAGTGGTTTACATACATCGCAAAATGTTGCTTCGCAATATTTTTTCAATTCAGCATGTTGTAGTTTAACTTATAAACAAATATTGCGAAATTAAGGTAACCAATCGAATTTTATGATTTGTTTTCAAGCAAATCTACCTGAGTCCGTGTGCTGCAATGTGTTAGTGAATTTAATATAAACTACGCTACATTTTTAGTCAATAATATTTTATTTTGTAGAAGACAGAGCGAAAAACGAGCACACAATTCGCCTGGTAGTAACTGGACGCTATGGTCTGTAGACAATTACGTCTCTACACCGATCCTCAATCAAGAATCAAAATGCAGACGCATTGTCACCCCTGACTAAGATGAAATGCCTCGTTAGTAATAAAGTAACTCTACATACCTAATATTCATCTTCGTTACAGCCCTTCAAAATTTCATGAACATAAGTCTCCGCCAAATAATGCCGCCAAACATGGTACTGAGTCCTATCGATTGAGCCATTGCATTTGGTAGAACCACGTTTCGGCTATAATATGGTTGACTCGATTTTGATTCTTAATTGAGGATCAATGTTGATATCTATGGGCAACAGCATTCACTCATCATAGGTGGACTGTGTGCTCACTTGTCACCCTTATTCTATATATAAAAAAAAAAACAATTTCCTGCATGTCTTACTAGGTTTCACTCTGTTTTGTGGGGTGGGGGCCGACATACTGATGGCGTCCCGTATAGCAGTCCCGTTTCAGTAAGCTAACTGTAGCTTACTGGAGCGGGATTGCCACTCGAAAACCTTTCTTCCTTTGTCGGTTCTTGGAGCTATAAGGCCTGCCCATTGCAACTTCAGCTTATTCATTCGTTACACACGATAATATTACCTATTAATAAATAATTTGCTTAGAATTTAACTAATTAAATCTAAGGTCTTTTATACATTAATTATTTCCTTAAATACTTAATATTATTTAAGTATAAAATTGGTCGATTGTTTTTGTATTTCATATTTTTGTAATTCATTTCCTTTTTTAACAATATGTATATATTATAAACGACACAACATCCAAACAATACAGGAGAAATATCTACACTGGGATCGAATCAATCCTGTTTAGGAATTTCTCCTGTTTCGTAGATGCTATTTACATACATAAATAGCATAATATGTACAAAAGTTCAGATCCAAAATAATTTTTTGTAGGTTGTACAAAAAATGTCCAATACGAGATTCGAACACGTGGCCCCGCAGGGCCAACGCCGAAGGGCCAACGCCGCCATACGCTTAGCCACTACACGAGCCGTCAACGTCTAGCCATGTCAATATGTGATAATAAATGTGAATATTAAGGAAACTTAAGTTACTTAAGCCTCGTTAATATTTCTGTTTTTTAATTACTTTTTTCTCCATATTAATTTTTTGACCATAGCGATAACTAAAAAGTAAAGGCTAAAAAATACATCGTTTTTTATACGATAAGGGTGACAAATTAGCACGCAGTCCATCTAATAGTGAGTGGATGTTTGGCCCGTAGACACATTCTACTTAGTCGGGTCATAAGTTCTGTCAAAACCTTATTATTTAAATTTTTTTAATACTAGCTAGATGAATTTCACCAATTTAAAAAATGTAACGTTTGCAATTGCCGAAAATAAAAAAGACATTAATTTTCGTTCATTTTGGAATGGTCGAAGAAAGAAGATAGAGTACCGGGTACACCCAAAAGAGATTTTCTATAGTCTACAAAAATTGAAAATAACCCTACGATTTGTTTATCGAACTATCCGACCTCGTGCAGTTAGGACACCCGCGATCATCAAAGCAGTGAAGGCGCGAATCCAACAAAATCCTGTTCGTAAACAAAAAATCTTAGCTCTTCAGATGGGCCTAAGCAGAACCACGGTCAAAAGAGTGATCAATGAAGACCTAGGACTACGAGCTTATCGTAAGAAGATCGGACATTTTTTGAACGAGCGTTTGAAAAAAAATTAAAGCTGGATAGATCCCGCGGTTTGTTACGGCGGTACGCGGTGCCGAGGTGTACCAAAATATCATCCTAACAAACAACAAAACAGATATGAGTGTGGTGCGTGCTGCGATTGATGATTAGCCGCGTTGTTTAAGGCCATGTATTCAAAATAAGGGAGGGCATTTTCAATAAAGTTAATAAATTAAATTACCTTTAATTTCATATAAAATTCCTTTGTAATTTTCAAAAAGTGTATCATTCATATTATAAAAAGTTTTTGACAGAACTTATGACCTAAGTACACCCTTCCTAGAATATCAGAGGTGTCGTCACAACTGAAGACTAAGATGGAATGACTCATTTACAGTAAAAAGGGTCTCGTAAATTGTTATCAACTGATACTGACCGACTTATCAAGTTTTCTCCATATTCAAGAAAAACCTTTTATTACGTTACAAACATACAAGGCCGCATTGTAACAGTCCTTGGAATGAATTACAGTGAGGTACTTCCATAAAATAAAATGCAATATAAAATGTGTTATATATTATGTAATTGTCTTAGCCCATTAATGGTATACTCTATATTTTTGCAAGTAATCAATCTACTTTGACTCTTGCATTACGTTATTTAAATATTATTTTAACAAGGAAGTAAAACACAATTGAAAGCAGTGAAACCTAGCATTGAATACGAGCCAAAACACTTATCGTAGAATGACTATGAAGAAATTCCGGCGTACAAATCCGTGGCCCAAGCGATGACTCAAATACACGTGCAAGGGTTAAATTCTAGTTCTGAATGTGATATGTGCTAGAATGTGATTCCTATTGCATTATTCTTATTGCAAAATCGGAGTGAAATAATAAATCTCATAAATTATAATTAGATCTTAATAGAATCAGGCGTCACTTTTCCGAAATCCATTATATTAAGGATGTTAAAAATCAGTTTAATAAGATCCGCGTAACAAAATAAGATGATGTGTCTTAACAAGTTTAAGGAGCATCTCCCGCCTTCCCTCAATTGCGTGCACTATCCCTGTTACCGCTTATCCCAGCACCACTACACTCGGAAAGAGCCAGCACCGTCGAAAATACGCCACGTGTTTTGCCTCTCAAGGCATTCTCAGACGAAGTAGACTGCGGTGGCTGACTGCTAAAAATCGCCAGTAAAGTGTTAGTTACAATATTCTTTTGTTTTATAGAATAAGGGTGATGGACGCGGATACAGTCCACGTGATGGTAAGTGGATGCTGTGGCCCATAGACATCTACATTTATCCTCGATTAAGAATCAAAACACAGTTGCGTTGTCACCCCTGAGGACTAAGATGGAATGCGTCCTTTCCAGTAAAAAGGGTTTCCGGATCTCTACACTCACCATACGAAACACAGCAGTATTAAACTGCTATTTTACCGTGGTATTCTGTGAAAATATTAAGAATATGTTTAATAAGATTTATTTTCATTCCATCCATTTACTATCAGGTGGACGGTATGATCGTTTGTCACCCACACTCTAACAAAACAAATTGTTCCACTTTACGAGTATATTGATGATAGGTGATATACGTATATTGTATTAACTGTGTGATGTCAGCGTTAGATAAATTATTAACCCATTTCGTCCCATAGCTGGCGTAAGAGGCGACTATTATAGATATATGTATATAGATGACAGTATAAGCAACATCAACGCCAGACGTGAAACATGCAGATCGGTGAAGGAGAGCAGGATCATTGGTGAGCGGCGTCCGGTGGAGCGGTCGTCAATTCGATTGCCAAGCGTGGCAATTAAGACAAATCCTCACCACAGTAAGGGAGGCCCATGTGGTTGACTTTTACCAGCTGATGATGATGAACAAGAAGGTATACTTATACAACAACCATATCATAATTGCTTTGATTTATTAAAAGAAGCAAAACAAAACAAACCTTATTGGTTAAAATTGATGGTAAAGTGAAATGAAAATATTGGAATAAAACTCGTGTTTATTAAGAAAGTGCAACAATCTAAACAAACAAGTTAACAAAATATTATTAATCCGTAGAGAAAGTGAGACATGCCCAGCAGCATTTTCCTAATAACACTCAGTTATAAAGAAAAACTGCGTTTGCAAGCTCGCTCGTTTCACTAAGCTTGAAGATGTTCACAAGTATGTATACCTGGGACAAATAGTTCGACTAGGTAGTCCAACGTTAGGTAACCCAAAAAATTTTTGGATCTGAGACGTGGTCCTTCACACACTTGAGCAGGTTGTATGAGAAGTCCCTCAGCGAGCTATAGTGTTGCCCAAAATCGGTCCTGGTCTTGCAGTCTTGGTCTTGGTCTTGCATTTTTGCAAGACCGAGACCAAGAACAAGACCGCCTAATTTTAGCAAGACCAAGACCAAGACTGACCGTGCAAGATTTGAGCAAGAACAAGACTAAGCCTGCGAGTCTCTTGCGTCTTGCAGTTAGGAATGAGTGTCGTTTCAGGGAGTATAGGACTTCGGGTATACGCTTAGGGACTCTATGAGACGCAATAAATATATAAAAAAAATTTGGAAAATTGGACTTATGCGCATTACGAACAATACCATAAACATAACATAGCGGATGAAAATATCCATTAAAAGAAAAAACAGTGCATCCCTAGTTTTGACCATCGGCACTTTGATAGTGCGCGGCGTCTTGTTGTCGGCATCGTCAAAGGTCAAATACTGACCTGTCAAAGAAATTTTGCAGCTATTCGGAAGTACAGGCCGGCGGCTTCTATTGATATCGCATTCAATCGTCGCCGCCGCGCCGCACGCACTACATTTGACACTGTTTGAATGCCGCCACAGAGTACACGTTCCAAAGAATAAAATAAGTTTCCGGGTGCTCAGAATGGACACGAATACATTATGCTGATCTCGCAAGGAATATTGTAATTAGATAATGGTAAGGATAGGTAGATACCATAATAATTTATTCTAGTAATTAATTATTATAATATTAACTATATGGGTTTATAATAATTACTTACTATTATTATTATTACCTAATAGATAAACATGTTCAATAAGTTCACTGCAAATCTCGATTTTTGGAAGTGTGATAAATATTGTAGACACTTCTAACACACGTGAAACGTGTAAACATTTTGTACAATGCTAATCGAATAATGTAAAAAGTGTGCATATTAAATAAAAAGCGTAAAATAAGATCTATGTATTTTTAGGAGCCCGAGTATCTCTTAGAGAACCGTTTAAAGAAATTGATTGCATCGAATTGATGTAAATAATAATGATTTGCACAATTTTAATTGTGGAAATAAAAATAAAATCACAATACCTGCTTTCCGGTTACACAAAGTATATAATGCGTTCTTGGGTAGCGATATACGTTTTTATAATAAGATTGCAAAAGAAATGTTAGATCTTTCACCATTTCAATTTAAGTCAGACAAAAATGCTTGGAACTGACCTCTCGTACTACACAGGACTAACTAGAAATTTCTAAACCGATTTGGTATCTACATATACATTTGACATTTTATGTTTGACTTATCGCTTTACATAATTATAGAACTATTGTAAAAATATTTTGAAAAGAGCAACTACTGAGTTTCTTACTTTCTTCCACGATTCTTCTCAGTAGAATCAGAACACCTGGACACGGAAAAGAAAAAATTTGGGAAAACAGTGATTATATGACTATTTAAAAGGGGGATAAGTCGCTCGCGTCCGTAGGCTTTGACCACCTATTCCTAGGCCCACCCTACACGTGACCCCCGGGTGGTGCTAAATGAGCGACAAGCCGATACTACAGGCTCGGCTCCACGCCGTGGTAGCGGCGTAAAATATACTACCCCATATTTCGCACCATGAGGAACCATATAAAAGAAATGGCCCTGAGTTCCCTGCGCCCTTTTAATGGGGCAGGGGTGCGAAGAATCCCCGGGAGGAAAACCGGCGACGAGGTTCGCCACCCGTTACGTTCTGTCTCCCGGAGAGGCGACTGGCTACGTTGAATGTATGTGGCGCAATGAATGATAAAATAGATGAAGTATGCGACATGATGTATGATAGAGGAATAGATGAGTTATGTGTAAATGACACGAAAAGGAAGGGGAAGGATGTCACTACACATGGCATGTATACCGCATACTGGTCTGGTGTAGACGAGATCGAGCGGGCATGCCAGGGAGTAGGTATCATCCTTTCAGAAAGAATGGGCCAATGTGTGAAAGAGTATGAATGTGTAAGCCCAAGACTGCTATGGATACGAATGAAAGTGGGCTTAAAGACGTTGTTTGTGTTAGGGTTCTACGCCCCAGACATGTCTAAGCCCACTTATACCCGAGAGCAGTTTTGGGAAATGGTAAGGATGGTGTTAATGAAGTGTAAGGGAAATGAAAATATTATTATGTTATGGGATTTTAATAGAAGGGTTGGGATGAGGAGGCTTGGTTATGAAAGGATATTGGGAACGTTTGGTGATGAAAGTATAAATGAGAATGGTGAAAGTCTCCTCACCGTATGTATGGAAAAGAATCTTTTTGTGACGCACTTGCTTTCGCCACAAGAGGATTCACATGTGTACTTGAGAAAGAGGTGACGATAGAAGCATGATAGATTTCATAATTGTGGATGAAAGATTGAGGGGCGCAGTGGTAGATACAAGGGTTTACCGGGGTTCTAACGTAGGAACGGATCATTATTTGGTTTATCATTACGCTGAATTAATGGTCTATTCAGGCGTTGGCGCCATCTGTATCTACCACTGCGTTACAGCGTATTAGAACAGAAAGGTTACAAGATGAAGGTGAGAAAAACAAGTTCAAATGTAGACTGAAAGAAAATATAAGTGGTTTGGATGAATTATGTATGAAGGAGTTAGATTTGGAGAATGTATGGCAAACGTAAAGAAAGGTTTAGTGGATGCAGCTACCGAAGTATGTGGTGTTAGTAAGAGAAAGAATGAAAGGAAAAATAATACGTATGGAAGTTGAAGCAAAAAAGAGAGCATGGCTAGATTTACTAGCAACAAAGGCTGGTATTTCTAGCGGTACGAATGATGATATTGAAAGAAAAAAGGCAGTCTTTAGACATCTTAATAAGAATAATAAGTAAAAGAAGTAGTTGAAAGAAAAAAGCAAGAAAGAACGGATAAGAATGATATAAGAATATCGGATAACTTCCAGGCAAATATTAAAGTGTTCTGGAAACTCGTAAGAACTGCCAGGGGTCAAAATAGCCTATAATGAATGCTATAAGAGACGAGAATGGCTATATTCTAAATGATGAAGTTTTGAGTTTAAAGAGATGGAAGGAATATTTTGAAAGCGTGTTTATGAGTGAGGAGACAACGTGTGTACTAAGTGAAGTAGAAACTCCGAAAGAAGAAGAAAGAGGTAGCGAGATAAGTATAGATGAAATAATGAAAGCAATGAAAAGCATGAAAGCAGGTAAGGCTGCCGGATATGATAGAGTTTCACTCGAAATG